TGTGCCGACACATGATTGAGTTCTGTGAAACAGAAGGCTGGCTGCTGATGGAAATCTGTTGTTAGAATGAAAAGAAAATAATGCAAATTGTGAAAAAAATTGATAAGTCAAAGTAGTTCCTTTAATGCTGCAGATCATCTAAGCTACATTTCTGAAATGGGAAGATTACAGAAGGAGCTACTTGCTAGAAACCTGACACAATTGCAAAACTTGTATGATAAATACAGAAGGAGAAACATATTATTGACTTGGGAAAAAAACAGGTACAGCTTGTGGTTGTGCCTTGCTTATGCTCCCAGCCTCATTGAGGCATTAAAGAATAATCTCAACCTGATCTTTTACAGCTTCGATACAACGAATAATCTGTGGTGTCTGAGTCTGTTTATCGGCAACAAGAGTTGAACTTGCATTCTTGGAAACTTTTTTAAGTCTATATTCTCATTTACTGAATTTAGATGTTGATCTTAAACTTAAGCAGCTTTTAACTTCTCCAGTTTATACTTGCTAGGACCTTCTGAGTGAAGCATGCCATTAGGAGATAGCAGGCGCCAGAGAGCGAGGAAAAATCGGCCCTGAAAGAAATTTTGTGAAGTCAGCTTAACTCCCAAGGAAAAAGTTACTGTATATCAGTACTGGGGATATATTTTTTTTACCCATTGAAATGCCACAAGTGCAGTCCAGCAGCCTGGCAAACCAAGTCCTCCTTTGTTCACAAGCTGGTTATAAGAAAAACATAAGGGTTATATTCATGCATAAAGATAGCCAGACAGTCTAGGAATGAGTACTGAGATATAGACCATCACCAACAATAAAAGAGCGCCCACAGAAAAGCATCCGCTCATTGATAAGCTCATAAATTTGAGATCGCGTCCAGCCTGCACAAGAGAAACAGATTTTCTGATGCCATAACACGAGATTCCATACATTATCTTTCAAGTCAATGCTCCTAAAATGAAGCATGGACTATTAGGCAGAGAAAATCAGAGGAAAATACTGGAGAACACAACATACCAGCAAAGTTCCCTCAACACTGTGAGTGCAGGGTGTCACGGCTAATGCAAAAAAGAAGAGAATCAACACTTTGTGCATCTGCATAAAAAGAAGTTAAGTGTGAGATAACCAATAATCTATAATTAAAATTCTTACTCTGGGTTGATAAGAAACATACTTGTAAAAGTTCAGTAGAAAACTAACCTCTTTTATGACCATAAGATCAGATGTAAACATATTTGGGAGGAACCAAGGGATAAATGAACCAACAGTCCCAATCATCACTCCAAGTATAGCTCCAATAATCATGAGCGACTTTATAAGTGTTCGAGCCTGTTTAACATTACAAATCCTTTCAGAACATTTCTGACAAATCAACTTCATTAGAAGAATAGTTGTATGCATATCCATCACTAACCTTGTCCAAACTTTGGTTAACTCCATATAGGATCTCCGGCATGAATGATTGCGCTGTTTGAGAGAGCGGCTCACCCCATACGACAAACATGCCATAGGTTTGAATCATGACCTGGAGTGAATATGAAGTTGACAGTGTCATCAGTTACTTAATTGGAGACAGGAAGCTAAAGCAATGAAATAAATTATTAAACTAGTGTGAGTTAAACCAACCTGATGAGCAGCAACTGTAAATGTGCCCATAGATGTGGCAAAGTACGTGATGAGAGAGTAGAAAGCCACCTGAAACATCAAAAACTCTTATTGAGTAACTGCATTGAGTTTGGGTTGATGCAATAATGGAATCAGGTAGAATGTAATCAACCTTTGAGAACATTGATACAAAAACTGGGGCAGCAATTGCAAATATTTGCAGAAATTCATTTGGTGATGGAATAGAGATGGCAAAAGGGTTGTATCCTTTCTTGTTTAGAGCTTGAATCATCATATAAGATGAAATAACCTGGAACGTATTCATACGCCAATCAATGGAAACATTAAGAGAAAGAATAAGTGCATTATCTTACATGAAGTATGCATCGAGGTTCAATAAAAACAACAATATATGAACTATCTGAATTCTAGTTCCATACCTGCGACGTCATCGTTGCCCATGCTGCTCCAGTAATACCATAGCCTAACAAACTGCACAAGATCAGATGACCAATGCCATTTACAGAAGTGGCAACCACCAAAGCCTTCAAAGGTCCCATTGAGTCCTTCATGCCAAGACTGTGAATAAGAAGAATAGACTTCAGCACACATTCTAATTAACTAAGTATTGTTCACGGTTTTATTAATCTCTGCAGTAAGAGTTCTCTATCATCTCAAAATTAATTATACTAGTAGATTTCAATGAGCGCAAGCATATCTAAATTAAAGATCATTCAAGCATGTGAGAGGTTACAGCTATTTGCACCTTGCACTTTGAGCAACCAGTCCATAAAGAACAGCAGGCCACGATAAGCCTCTAATCTGCCAAGAAGATTAGGAATGTTAAAATATAAAACATCGGTACAACAATAAAGAAAAAATACCGCAAAAGAAAGAAAGAGCAGAAGAAGTAACAAAGAAGAAGATGAACCTGAACATATTTGCTAGCTACAGGTACAAGATGCGCATTCTTTGGCCCAGCAAAGCCTTAAAAAATTAGATATACAAATTCATCGGTCAGTGAAAGTCCTTTGCTATTTTAGCTCCATTACAGATTATCGTGATCTATAAGTAGAAGTTACTGAAAACTGCACTAGTCTTTCTTACCAGTTAATGCCCATGAACCAAGGAATTGGGTAAACAAAAGCATCAAGACACCACAAGTTAACCCAACAAAGAGCAATACAGAGATTTGATGCTGCACCTCCTTTTTATCCTGCACCAAAAACTGTCTAATCAGAATTGCAACGTAGACCATAGAAGATTGAATGCTAATCACAATGGTTATTTTTAGTTTTTAAGTATCAGAAAAAGCATGCGCAGGTTTCAGAAGCAACTACATGATTATGCAACCTAAATTTCTTAAGGCATTCAAGAGAACAATATAGCCTGTATTAATGGCCTAATCAGGTTCACATTTTCTTAATCAAAATTCTGAATTGCGGAAACAACCAGATGTATACTAATCACAGCAATGACTAAATCAGTTACTGTACAAATGAACAGTCCCCTTCAACAGATTAAGTAAATAATTACCCCTTTGGCAAGTGCAGTTGCAACCATATTCGAAGTAGCGATTGAAAGGAACATGAACAGAAGATTCATATTATCGCAAAATACAGTCCCGGGACCTGCTCATTCAAATGCATGACAAAGTTATAAATAAATTTGTAGTTACTCCAAGGCCATTTCTTGGAAATGTTTCTACAGAGAACACTTTTATAATGTGTAAAAGCACACCCCTGAAGCGCTTCATTTCTTTCTGGGGAATTAAGTGCTTCTCTAAAAAAAATTCTTTTTGCATATCTCAATCAAACATGTTGAAAGTCCCCAAAATGGTTTTGATTATATGAAAGTGCTTTTAGATGGCACCAAAGATCTAGAATCTAAAACTTCAGTTCTCTCAATTTTCCTGGAAAACAAACAGAAAATAAACTTTTCAAACTGAGTTATATAAGCTACCTAAAGCAGCGAGCTCAGTTGAGCTTTTTTGACCAACAACAGCCGTGGATATAAGACTCATCAGAGGCGCACAGACCCAAAGCCCCGTAGCGGGTCCTGAAAACATGAGAATTTCTTTCATTTGCGTCCAGATACTCTTTCCTGCCAATTCTTCTCTCTTTGATCCAACAACTTCAACTTCCACTTCTTTCTCTTCGTTAGACAATCCCACAGCCCCATTACTGCTACCTCCGTCAACAACGTCCAGCTCCGGCTCTTCATCCACTAGTTCTGGGCTCGAGCTGACGCATGAAGTTATGAAAGAAAGTCTTCCATGACTGTTTGGTGTTGAAATGCGCAAACTTTTATAAGGTGGTTGGGGTTTGAAGAGAAATAATAATGATGATGAAGATGAGGGTTTAGACAGAGGTTTGAGATAAGGGTTTTGTAGAGGAAGTTGAGAAGACCGAACTAGAGCTTTGATTTGCATTTTTTTTCTGGTGAAGATTGTGAGAGTAAGAAGAAGAAGAAGAAGAAGAGCAAGTGAAGAAGAGAGCGAGCGGTTTATATAGTTTGGTGTTAAATTTTAGAAGGCTTCAGCTGGACTTGCATTTGGGTTCTCTCCGGTTGCAGATTTCCGGTACTGAGTTTAATTAGATGTAAAAATAAAAAATAAAAAATAAAGTAATTTTTTTATTTTTTTTGTCACTAGAATGTTCGGACCAACTAACACGTACTTAAATTAATCTTTTGGAACTCTAAAGTTAATAGTCAGATAAATCTCCGATTGTCACTCTTATTAGAAGTAGAGATTGATTGAATTCAAGACTTTTTAAGTAACACACTTAAAAGTTTTAGTTGATCGTTCCACCACCCAATAATGGTTAATAATTTAATATTCACTCACCCTAATAATTCTATTTCTAGATGCTGACATGGTATGATATAATAGGTCACTTTACTAACTACTCAATACGTTAACCGGAGAGAAGCTAACAGCTAGCTGGTGACTCGGCCTGTTCACGGTAGCCGTTAAAACTTTCCCTCTCCAACTAATTTCTTATCTAACTGCAGCACAAAGGAAGGGCCAGGTTCGCATGAGCACGTGACTACCGGTCATTCCAAGTGGCGGCATCGCGAGACGCTTAGATCATCGTTGTCAAACTCATTGGATGTTCTAAAGTGCCAGATCAACGTTGAAAATGCCACCGTGGCTCCTCCAACTGGTCACTTTTTAACTAATTTTCAAAAACTACCTTCCTTTCTTTAACGAACTTATATTTGAATGTGCAAATCACTGTCCGTTAGTCTTTGAATTTTTGGACCGACAGGCTAACCATGAAGAGAAATAAGCAAATTAATACTTTTTTATATTTAAAAAAGAGTAAATGACATATTCCCACCCGAGGTTTAATGAAATCCTAAGTTGATATCTCTGATTCCATTTATTTTAAATTTTCACCCTTAAAGCGACGAAGATTGTTAGATATAACGGTTAAGGGGTAAATTATTCATTTTGCAGGAAGAAGCGCACATTAGCAGATCGTCGCCCATAACAGTGCTTCGGTGCACGTTAGCCGACATCGCTCCTAACATTTTTCACCTTTTTTTGGCGATTCTTTCACCCAAAATCACCCTTGTTACCACCATTCGAACCCCTATCCTCCCCTCTACAAAACCTTATCCTTTACAACCCCTCATCACTCACCGATTGCTGGCCATGACAACCATGACTTGCGATTGGTTTTTGTCAGTTTTTGGCAGTTTTGAGCAACGACAACCCCCACCACCATAATCGTTTGACTCCTCGAATCCCCCCTTACAAAACCCCTAACCTTCCTAGCCATAGTAGCTCACCTTTTGCGTTCACCACCACTTCACCAAAAAATGCGATGAACACGAACTCTCGACTGGCAAACGGCGACTAAACAGTTGTTAGGGACATAGGGCTTTTGTAAAGTTGGAGACGATGGTTGTAGTGGTGGTATCCAATTGGATTTTTGTTACGAAATCCAGCGAAGAACAGTGAAACCCTAAGCCTAATGGCTCCGGCAATCGGAGGGGCCAATGAGTCGGGAACTAGAGGGGTTTTGGATGACGGATGATGATCGATGAGGAAGGTGATGGAGGTGACCATGGGGTTCAACGCTGTCAGAAATAGCCCAAATCTAGCAAAAATTGAGAGGGTGTGCAGTCACTGAGGGTGATTGAAGTAATTTGAAAATAAGATAGTTAATTTATAATTTTTATAATTTAGGGGTTAAAACATAATTTATTAATTTATTTGTTAAGGGCATTATGGTAATAGCACCCTTTGTAACCTAAAAATTGCTAATAGTGTTATTTTAAAGGTTTGAATCTAGAATAAATGGAACTAAGGGTACCAACTTAGGATTTTTCCAAACCTTGGGTGGGAATTTTGCCAAACCTTGGGTAGGAATATGATGTTTGCTCTTTAAAAAATAATATCTCTAAACCTTGTTTAATACTGAAAATAGTCATCTAAATTTAATTCGGTTTTATTTATTTATTTATGATAGGGTGTCTGGGTAAAAGTTCTAGTATCTACCTCTATTAGAAAACGAAGAGAGACTCGAACTTAGGATTTTTTGTGTAATATACCTAAGAGTTCTTATCGAACCACTCGATCACCCAGAGATAATTGTAATTCGGCTTTTTGTTTACACTCATTTCCCCCAATTTCAAATATGAAACTTACTTTTTATTCTTTAGTTTCATCAGCAAACAAATATTTGAAATAAAAGAAAACGTTTCAATGACTATGAAAGTTTAGTGTAACTATTTATGTAAGAATTAAAGATCAAAACAAAAAAATTAATATAATAGGAGTGTACTTAGAGCTTATAATGTCATTTTTAGTAAATTTTCATTAAGGTTAAACTTGTCAAAACAAAAGAACAAAATGAGGATAATGATAAATTAGATTTAAACGTTTAAAAAGACTGTAAAAATTCTATAATGACAAATTGAAATGAAAATTTTGTGTGAACAAAGTGAAAAAAAAAATTGTTCGTTCACAAAATTAGAATGAATTATATTATAAATCATACGTCTCATTGATACATTAACAGTTAAATTACTACCTAAAATGGATTTTGTTTAACCATAAAGACATGAATTTATAAAGAAATGAGTAATG